GGTCAAAGTTGTTCCGCTCCCTCTCGTGTCGTAATCGTTCCTGTTCTATTTCTCTGATACGGGTTTCCTGACTAATTCTCGCCAGCTTAATCTGGGTCTCAGCTTCGATCTTAAGTTTCTCCAGTTCGATCTGGGCTTCTGAGAGTTGAGGCACTTCTGACACAAGGTTGTCAAGAACGCTCCGGTCGATAATGATGTTTTCGACCATGTCTTCTGAGACCACTCTCATCAACTGCGCCTTTCGCATAGACCGTCTTACGTCCAACTCCAGTTTTAATCCTATCTCTAAAATATGGTCCTTTTTCAGCTTTAATAGACCATCAAACATGGGAGAGTTTAGAAAAGTATCTATTACAGACATCTCGGTCTATGTGCCTTCCGTAATTCTATGACTGCACTGTTCCTCACTGCGAAGTCTTGTGGAAAAGGAGAAATAATTCCTGGACTCGAGCCCCCAATTCTGTTATGCCTGGGGTTTCGTTGGGACTACGATAGCCGGGATGCAACGAGAAAATAAAAAAAAAATAAGTAAGAGATCCCAAGGTTCGTTATAAAAATAAAGAAAAGAACGTTGGGAGGAGAATTCTCCAATTCCGGACGTCGGCAAACGCAGAGAGAAAATGAACTATACGCAGACACAGAACAACAGAAAACAACACGAGAATATATAATACAAAGATTTTATTTATAGAATACACAAAGTGTGAATGTAAGAAAAAGAAAAAGAAAACTAAATAATACAAGGGATGGGGAGATAAGTTACCAATTAAACGGATACTAATGCGGCGAAATACATATGAATACGGAGATAGCAGATTATAAGATATGGAAAAACATGCAGAAACCTACATAAGGTTGGAATCGACGTCGATTGACTATTATCGGGGTACAGTTTGTTCAAAAGGACATTCATATACTTCTCTGAAAGCAAAGGGTGGGATTGACAATGTTCTAATATGAATTTTTGACTGGCGACGTCCAATCCGGGTTGATGGCGAGGAGAACACACAGAAAAATCACGGGAGTGTAGCCGACTTGGGTTGACGATGTTGTTTTAGATTCCCGCGTCGGTCCTTTGGTTTTTGGTGGCATCTAATTCTTCTGGCATCAAACAACGAAGTCTGGTTCTGGTGACAGCTGCTTCTTCTCATGGCAAATAGCTAAGACTGGTTTTTGGTGACGTCCGACTCCTCCGATAGCCAGCAACTATGTGAGATCGCTGTTACCTCAACACGTGCGAAACGAAAACTGCTATATGTTGAGTCACCTGTTGCCCCCCCCCCAAAAGGTATGCGTCATTCACGGACCTTGTTAATGTCATCCGTACTTATCTGTCAAACAGCGTTCGTTTTGGCCAGTGACTATTGAACTGGCTAACATCATTCGCACCTATCTGTCAAACAGCGTTTGTTTGGCCTGCGCATCAGGGACCAGGTAGGAAATGGGGGTAGAATGTAACGTTTTCCGAGAACTGGCCCTGACTCATCTGGTTATAAAAACAATATATATCACATAATCTGCATATTCAAGAAATAAAGAAGTTATTAAGATTCATATGTTTCGTCGCAAATACAAAAGGTACTGAAAATATACTTATAAAATCTGAGGTGAGGGTACAAAAATGGGGTTAACATAACAGTATTAATCGGGAAAACATCCTCTTGGGAGTCGATCCACAGAGTAACTGTTCACGGAAAAGAGCTGCTCGAGAATATAGCCGTGAAGTGAGAATTTGTGGGACAAAGGAATATAGTTCGTCTAGGCACTTTCTATGGAAATGGCGGTAGACAAGTTAGAGGACTGCGACGTTTTGTCTGCGAGAAAATGGTTCAAGGATGACAATAGTTTGGCACTTACAAGAACGTCGAAGCTGGAATGCGACGACTGGGCATCTCCTGCCCATATATGGCAGCAGTACACCATTTTAGTCCTGTGCTGGCTTTTGTAAAGGTAGAGGATAGCAGGGGTTGCTTACTGGAGCTTAAAATTTTAAGCTAGTTGCAATTTTTGATATAAAAAAATAAAATAAGACTTACACCCCTTGAACAATGAAAGCACCGATAATGGCTAGTATAATATATTAATATATATTTTTAATCTCGCATAATCTGGCAACACCGAATTTGAGCTCAACGAAAATCGTTCCCTGTGCCTAAAATTTTTAGGGCTGTTGAATGAGCTATTGAAATCGAACCAGTGTGAAAGGAGGAGTTGCTTAGATGCACACATGCACAAACGTACATGCTCTGCAGTTTATATATAAGATTAGCAAACATTTTTGTATTGAAATTACCAGCGTTATATTTTTTTTAAATTACCAAAAATACATTTTATCATCTACAAACTATATATCTAATAAATCATACGTTTATCCTGAAAGTACATATTTATGTACAAAATATCTGTAACTGAAGCAATAAAACTGCGTAGAAAGTATTTTGATTTTGGCATTTTTTAAAAGATAGAAGTTGATATGCCGCTAAGCAAAATCAGCCAACCAATTATTGTTTTATGGCAATTACCTTTTATTGTAACAACACATGCACATAATATTAAAATGTTCTGGATTTCGCAAGAACATTGCACACCTTCTGTTGCTTTGTGAATACAGCTTTCGTAATCGTTCGGTTTTTGGTCAATTTACATCTATCTCTCCCGTGCTTTTTGAACATAGTACGTACTTAATATCTGGGACGACGGTAATCGTTGTCGTCTCGATTAACCCCAAAGTGGTCTTGTCTGTAACATATTGTGGCCTACACATGGTAACTTATAGTCATGAAAGTATCACATTGTAAAGGCAAATAATGGTTTCATTGTGATGTAATGAAATAACCAGTCACCTCCTATGAATGATTACACTATAGGTAGTAAGTACCTATAAAGTCAACTGTTTACGAGGGACTGGAAGAAGAGTGAGAGCGAGAAGACGCAAGCACATGCAACCTTCCAATTAGTGGCACTCACTACTAGATTGACCTGTGTGTATAACTGTACCGTATTTCATATTGTACTGGTTGTGTACAATAAACCTTTCTTCTATTATCCACCTGGTGTTATGTATTTATTCCCTTAGCACGGAATATAACACATTGTTTTTTTACATCATTTCTCCGCAAGGAAAGTAATAAAGCCACTAAGACGCAAGGGGCGGGGGCACTGAGTATGAAAGAATGTGAGGAAAAGAAACTATTATTAAGAAAAGAGAACAACAAAAGAACACTTATTACGCAAACAGAATATAATGATTGACATTGTACTTAAATCTTTGAAGATGTCTGGAATGCAAGAAGCCGGAAAAGAGTTCCACAAGCGAGAAGTGAGAGAAAAGGCACAATCAATATAGAACTTATAGTTATTTTTTTCGGTCGAGCGAACTCGGAAATTCTCTAGTCTATGACGCCAAACTTCACTGTCCTGCATCAAGGTAGGAAGATCATTAGGGTGGCATTTGTGTCATTACATTGTTGGTCAATGCAGGTGTTTGCTGGGAGACCAAACCGTCTTGTGCCATGGCAGTGGATCACACCAGAGTTCTTGTTTTGCTCGTCAGCAGTGCCCTGTAAAACGCATTCTAAAGCGTAAAATTGTAGAAATATCAGAGATGGGTTCATAGAGCTGTGATTTAGTTGGATCCTGTCTCCAAGAGATGCAAGTATAGTGCTCGGCATCCGAGTGTAGGTTCCATCAAGCTTAGATTCAAGGGTTTTAGTTAATATTCAAGCAATGGGACCATATAATAAAACCGAATCTACAGGGGCGTGAAAGATACTCCGTTTGAGGTTGTCTAGTAGATTAGATTTCCAGATTACATCCATTTTATTCAAGGCGGTCCAGGCTTTAGCTTTTCCACATCCTTTTCAGCAGAATTTATTTCGCTTTCTATGTATGTAAATGACTGGACAGATTTCATTGATTCAGGAATTCTTTAAAAAGACCCTCGCCATCTGCAGTACTGACTACACCGTTGGGTTAACAGAAGCTATTAAAAAGTGTTCTTTGTGTCATAGGCTCCCGCCTTTATTTAATCCAGCCGCAAATTGAGAACGGCCGACTGCAGCTAGCATTCTAGACCTGGTATTACTTTCAGTCGATATCCAATATTCTTTGCGCAGTCACTCGTAAGTTTAAGGCAATCAAATAAATAAAACAATAAAACAGGATCACTGTAAAAGGGATGATACATGAGGGTGAAAACACTTTAATGTCTCACATATAGGTGTAAGTATAAATGATCTGCGGAAAGAAATATAAAAGGGAGACAGGCCGCCCCCTTAAGATAAGGCTTCAAGAACACCAGAAAGCTGTAACACGAGGGAAAGTGGAAAAAATCAGGCGTGGCTGACCACATATGGAGAGAAAAGGGAGATCACCGCCCTCTGTGGGATCAGGTTGAAATCATAGACAAAGAACTTCATTGGAAAATTCGTAAACTTAAGAAATCAGCACATATGCTAGGCCACAAAAATCTCCTGAGTCGACCAAGCATAGAAATGAATACAATATAGGAACCAGTAATAAGGAGTGCCAGAGAAAAGCAATAATAACAACGAAAATTGCAATATGAGCTATGGTAAAAAAAAAAGCATGCAACAATAACTGCAAAAATGGCAATATGATCACTGGTAAAAATAGTTGCTGAAGACATTAAGCCCGAGAAATTCATATACAGATGTCCACATGGCACAGTGGATAAAGGCATTGGTTAGATCCAGTGACAGGATCCAAAGAGGTGTGAGTTCAATATCTGGTTAAGGTATTAGAGTACTTGGAGAGGAACATTAACAGGAGATAACTGATAACTGATATCTATTAGACATGGCACGTGGAACTAGAAAAGTCTATCCCAGCGAGCGGTTCAGTTCGACATTCCAACCACCTGAAGAAGGCCGGAGCGTACAACGACAGAAACCTTGTGATAAATATGGCAACAAAGATTGAGGACAATAGTCCGAATAATGTAAATATATGAGTAAATGATCTCATTTGCATAATTTCAGGGTCGAAGGGCGAACTGTTGTATTGTGAATACAAGGAAATGAAATTCAAGGTGGGAAGTAAGTTCACTGATGTCGATGCCTGCATGCGTTGTTCCTGCGACGAGAACGGATTAGATTGTTGTGGGTAAGTATGACAATCAATTTTTCGTGATGTATTTCTTTTATCTTACTTTCAGTTGCTTTTTATCGCAACTTTCAGGCAACCTTTCTAGAGCCTTCAATAGGCAAATACGGATCTGAAATAAAGACTAGGTTGAGCGACCAGTTACTTCGTATCGTAATTGCCTTGACAAAATAATCCCCCTTTTTAAATTAAAGATCTGAAAATTAGTGCAAAATTAGTTCCCATGGGTGCTCAGTGAAAAGCAGAAGACCCGTTGGTGGCAGCAGAGAGATGGGTGAAGGACAACTCAGCACCGCCAGCTCAGCACCGCCGATTGAGCGCCGGGACAACTTAGGACCGAGGCAACTCGGTATCAGTAAAACATAACTTCATTTTTTTTTATAACAGAATAAAAGTAATTTATTAAGGATTAAAACCTTAACTAGTGAATATTTTTCTTCAAATAAGACACTTGAAAAGGCATTAAGTAAAAGAAAAAAAAACAATTATTTGTTTTTAATTATTTTTAATAAAATAAATAGTAAAGAAAATTATTTTTTAATAAAGTAAATTGATATATAAAAATAATTCAATAAAACACACGTTTTTAATTACCGTATTTGACGGTATATAAGACGCACGGGTGTATATGACGCACCCCAATTTCAGCAAGGCAAATCAAGAAAAAATTAGTTAAATTAATAGAATTATTAGTAAATGGTACAGCCGAGGCTATATTTATGAGGTATTATTTTGTCTAAACAGGCCATGATGACAATTAAACGAAAAATAATAGGAAAAAAAGAACACGAGCCGATAAAAACTTTATTATATCCTTTATATGATCTGTACAACCCGCGTCTTGTAAACATCTTGGTGGAATAGATATTTATTTGTACGGTGGTACAAAATGTGCATAAGGCCAAAAAGAGGATTGGGGAAAAAGGACGGTCTTCTGTTTTAATTCAAAACTTAGCTAGCCACAAACACTGACCCAAACATACCAACAATAGCCCTATCACCAAAACAACACATTCTCTCCTGCATTTCTTACTACATCCACCCTAATACCTCAATGTCTCTATGGAATCCTAACTAGTCCCCATATGGACATTTCAAAGTCTGTGGGGGGAGGGGAATAAAACAACAATTTAAAAAAACCCTAATGATTATTTGCAATATGAATTAATACTATTTACATGAAAACGAAACAAAATAAAGTTAGTAATAAAAAAACCCACAATGCCTAAATGTGACAGAAAAATCAGTTAATTGGAAAAAAAATTGCGGGATTATAATAGTAAAAAAAACAATCATCCATCCAAAAACAGTCACACAAACACGCACTGATTCAGTCACAACAACAAATACGAAAAACACACACGCGAAACGAAAGGCACCCCGCAACTACCAGAGAACTGAAATCACTGACCCCCTAACGAGGGAGGGGATGGGGAATTAAACTAAAGAAAAATAGGGACACAAATAAAAGGGGGCCAATGAGTATACATACCCTAACTAAGTTAACAGGAAACGGGAAACTAAAGATTCAAACTAAACCTAAACTAGCCTAATATCGGGACGGGTTGCCTCTGTTCAACCCAGGAAGGACAAAATCCTGTACCTAACCGGCATCAAAGTTCTACACACTTGCGCAAGATTTACCCACCTTTTGCCGAATTCTGTTGAAAAGAGTCGCTGCCTTTCTGTACTAATCTTGACTATTAAGCTGATGCTTAAAGTACAAGATCAGTTGGGAAGAAGTGAACTTTTCACCTCCATAGAATCCCTTATGACGTGTCGACCAAATCACGACTCTCATAACACCTAGCAAGCAGTGAAACACATAAAGTTCAGCCTTCGTCAACGGCGGTGCCACATTGCTACAAACAGAAGAGTCCTCAAAGACAAAGAAATTTCTTTGCAGCATGCGAACCATGAGACCTTCAATGAACACTGCAATGAAAGAAAGTATGACCCAGGGTCTCGACCTCCCCATCACAGCGCCGGAAGTTTGGAGATTTCTCCAAGCCCACTGAGCTAAGTTTTTTGGCAACTCAGAGGGCCCCACGCATCACCAGCCAGGTGAAGGATGCCTCATCGTTATTGAGACATTTCAACCCGGGCGCCCAATGCCAGATTGAGCCAGCATCGAGCTTGTCAATCAGATCATCATGAACGGACCCCCTGACTAGCACTTGATATAATGCCCTACGAGACAATACCTGGACGTTGGCGAGGCCATCCGACGCCTGTGATAGGCGTTTCAGAGCAAGACGACATACACGGTAGAAGGAGCATTCAGCTTGGGGTAAACGGTGGGCCTCTTCCTCGCACGAGTGCACACTTCTCAAGGATGGGAAATTTCTACGGGCGTCTTCCTTCCAGAAGGCGTCCTGCTCATCCGATTCACGACACAAACGAACGATCTAGGAACCCGATGCGAAGCATATAATGACGAATCTCAATGCTAGGCATACCTAGACCGCCTTCAGATGGATGAAGGCAACAGATCTCCCGAGATAACCTAGCGGCTTTGCCTCTCCACAACAAAGAAAAAACAAGAGCCTTACTAATGACATTAGTGTGGCATACGGAAGCCTTCCCTTATACCTCCGACCAATCCAACGTCTTAGTGGAATAATCTCTATCTATAAAAGCAGGATGTGTGTGTGTGTGTGTGTGTGTGTGTGTAACGAATGCACGGCCGCAATTTTTGACGGATTTGCACCAAAATGTACATGCAGATGCTCCAAGTTAGCGGGAAGGACAAGACCGACTTTGCATTTCCCAATTCCCATGCTTCTTTTTTCATGCATCTACGGCAGTTTTCATGTAGTTTGCGACCATTTTCTACTGGCCAGATTGAGAGCCAATAGCTGGCTCCACGAATAGACAGGAAGATTCTATTGGCCAGCGTGAGAGCCAACAGCTAACTGACACGAATGTTAACTAGCATGCTAGCATGCAAAAAAATTGATAGCTGCATTCGTCACAAGTGGGAAAAATTTAAATCTGCATGGCACTTTACTCCAATTGGCTCAACGTTGATTCTGATTCCACAGAACTGGGTTGGGTGTGAAAAAGTATTTGTTGTTAACATTCTTTTTTCATTCGTTTTTTCTAGTTACGAGTCTTTTTTTTTTTAAAGCTGATCGTTTTGTGTTCATTTTGTTTAGTTCTTTTTTCGTAACAGATTTAATGTTTAGTATAGAGCTTCGAAAAATTTCGCAATGTGAGATAGGCAAGAAGTAAGGCATGTAGCAACATCAGCACAACAAAGGGCACTCCTTTAAAGGCAAGGAAGGGCAAAAATATTTTAAGTCAAGTGATAACGATTGCTGTATGAGTCGTACCATTTTTGAATCAAGCACGGGCAACGCCGGGCCATTGTGCTAGTTACGATGTAAAAATCAGATTGTATTTATACTAATGACACCGGAAGTTATCACAAGAAAAATATTAATGAAACACTTTTGATCTGCATAATAGCCTTTTAAATAATGACAATAGGTACGTAAAAGTTACTCTAAAGTCTAATCTAATAGGAGTTGCCAGGTAGCTAATTTCGGCTGACTATATTTAAAACTACATATGGCCTATAAGACGCAGGGGAATTTTAAGAGATATTTTTACAAAAAGAAAGTGCGCCTTATATGCCGTCAAAAGCGGTAATAAAGTAAATCGAAAAATGCAAAACAAAATGAAGGATTTTTTTGTCTTTAGTTATTTTAATAAAGTAAATCGTAAAGTAATTTATTTTTAATAAAGTAAATCGACATTCTAAAATATTTGATTTACTTTATTAAATGATTATTATTACGATTACATCACTAATTAAGGTTTTAATCCTTAATAATTTTTTTATTCGATTATATAATAGTTACGTTTTTCTGGTGCTGAGTCGCCCCGGTGCTGAGTCCTCTCGGTTCTGAGTTGTCCCGGCGCTCTGTCGACAGTTTTGAGTTGGCGGTGTTGAGTTGTCCCTTCCCGATACCAACCACCTTACAGCCTAGACCTAGCTACCTGTGACTTGGTTGTTCCTTAAGCTGAAGGAGAACATCAATGGCAATCTCTTTAAAGACGGTGAGAAGATGACGGAGATGGGACATAGGTGTTGGAAACTATTTGGAACACTTCACTGTAACATTCAAGAAGAGTCCGGAGCCCTACAACAAATGCAGTGAGGTCAGAAGATTCTACTTAGAAGGGGATTAGAGTTCGTATTTCTTTGAAATTAATTAATGTCAATCCTGGTAAAGTCTCAAAACTTTTGGAATACATTTCATATATATTACGAAAATATCTGAAAATGTCACTGTAAGGAATTAAATTTTGACACAAAATGGCATAACAACACTTTAATCATAATCACCATTGATATAACATCCGGTTACATACAGACGTCTAACTTTCACAATGGCATACAAGAGTTAATGCTTGAACCGTAGGCGATCAGGTTCTGACGACACAACTAGCGATCACGATATATTACGATTTTATTGTAAGACAATACAAGGACATTTGTTTTTTTACGTCAAGATTTTAACTGTTTTCCCTCTTGTCACTTTCCCAGACACAATTTAAAAAAAAATCTTTTTCGTGCTATCTACTGTTATTTACTTAGTTTTTTCTTTACTGTTTATTTTTGTTATTTTTCTCCTTAGCACCGAAATCTCATCTCGAGCCGAAACCTGTTCTTGGCATTATTTTCAAGAAATAATATTTGCAAAAAATACTTCGCTGACATTATATATTTTGAGAGATGTTATTGTTCTTTCTCTCTTTCTAATTTTCTTTCAGTTTTTATTTTTATTTGTTTCTTTAATTTGTTCTTTCTTTGTAAATATTTATTTCCTTTCTTTTTTTTGCTGTCTATATTTCTTTCTTCCATAATTTCATTAATCCTTTCTCATTTTTCTTTCTTTCTTTTTAACTTTTTCCGTCCTCCAGTTTTTATAGATCTTCGCCCCACTTTATATATATAAATATTTCTTTCTTTCATTCAATTTTCATTTTTCTTTCTTTCTTTCTTTCTTTCTTTCTTTCTTTCTTTCGTGTAATTTTTCTTCTTTCTCTTTCTATTTTTTTCTTTAATGTAATTTTCTTTCTTACGTGCATTTTCTCTTGTTTCCCTTTCTTTCTTTTCGTGTAATTTTTCTTCTTTCTCTTTCTATTTTTTTCTTTAATGTAATTTTCTTTCTTTCTTACGTGCATTTTCTCTTGTTTCCCTTTCTTTCTTCCTTTAATATAATTTTTTACTTTCTTTCTTTCTTTTTTTAATTTTTTCTTCTTTCTTTCTTTCGTTTAATTTTTCTGCTTTACTTTCTTTCTTTCGTATAAGTTTTTCTTCTTTACCTTTTTTTCTCTCTTTAATATAATTTTCTCTTCTTTCTTTCTTTCGTGTATTTTCTCCTTTTCTTTCTTTCTTTCGTGTAATTTTTCTTCTTTCTCTTTCTATCTTTTTCTTTAATGTAATTTCCTTTCTTTCTTTCTTTCTTTCTTTCTTTCGTGCATTTTTTATTGTTTCCCTTTCTTTCTTCCTTTAATATAAGTTTTTACTTTTTTCTTTCTTTCTTTCTTTCTTTTTAATTTTTTCTTCTTTCTTTCTTTCTTTCTTTCTTTCTTTCTAGTAATTTTTCTTTTCCCCCTTTCTTGTTTTTGCTTTAATGTAATTTTCTCTTCTTTTTTTCGTGTAATTTTTCTTGTTTCCCTTTCTTTCTTCCTTTAATATAATTTTCTCTTCTTTCTTTCTAATATAATTTTTTTAGTATAATTTTCTCTTCCTTCTTTCGTATTTTTCTCCTTTACTTTCTTTCTTTCGTGTAATTTTGTCTTCTTTCTCTTTCTTTCTCTCTTTAATATAATTTTCTTTCTTTCTTTCTTTCTTTCTTTAACATAATTCTCGCCTGTAGTAACTCCAATCACCCACGGAAACGTTTCCTTATTTTCAAGGAATGACATATTTTCAAATAAAACTTTAACTTTCGGCATGAATGTTGGGTATTTTAAGTTGGGACTATACAAGCCATTTCTCTAATTCGTAGAATTGCTTTCCTTTCTTAAAAATCTGTAAAATGCTCATTTTTTTCACTTTATTTCTAATTGCAGAATTGGTTATTATGCTGGTGTCATGAGTATCGAAGGCTGCGAAATTGTTCCGGATCACTGCAAAATTGCAATTTTGAACAAGAATAAAACTGCTTTGTGCCATTAGTAAGCTAGAAATGCCGCTTCTTCTGTCATGAAACGTTCAATAAAATAAACAACAATGACTCATCTTATTATTCATTTTTCTCTTTCATTTTTTCTATCTACTCTTTCTCTTTCTCTCTCTCTCTCTTAATGAAGACATGGATATCATTCAGTTATGTGCCATGCAGGATACACGCTTAGGTGATTATGTATCTTTCGATACATGACAGACGAGGCAGATATTTTGCCGCAGTAGGTTGCCATTTCTTTCTGCGGTAGACCAGTTGCCATCTAAGTCTATTTACCCATAACCAAGAGCAAAAGAAGAGGATTCATACCTTTTCCAAGAGTATTAGAACATCAGTGAATGTAATGGATTCGACTCGGCTCTCCGATTCCTCGGATCCACTATCCATTACTCCAACGTGCCTCCTTCATTATCATTTGATGGCCCAATTCATGTATTTGTTTCAGTATCTCTTGAACACACACACACATAACACACACACACACACAGAAGACCGTTGTTTGACACGTGTCGTGTACATGCCTATATGTGTGTGTGTTTGTGTGTGCAATTATAAATATGAATATCTAATAAAATATATAGCTAATCGATTATTTTAATATTCGGCGTAAAAAGATATCCTCCTCAGCTAAAGCTATTAAATTTGTTTTTTAAACAGTTAATGAATATATATACGAGGTCTGTTTGAAAAGTAATGGAATTGGTGTCACAAATAATTTATTTCAATTCCAAAGAACACACTACATGGTTTCTCCATCAAATTATCTCTCTTGAGTCTAATGCATTTTCCCATTCTTCTCTGCAACGCTTCTATGCGCTGCAGAAAGGATTTTTCTTGGATTTCCTTCAGGACCGTCGTTAGGGACCTCTTGATGGCTAGCACGCCTTCAAAACGGGTTCTCTTGATGATCCATTCGAACATTGGGAAAAAGTCGCACCGACGAAGATCAGATAGGGAGTTTGTTCCATTACGGCGATGTTCTTCTCGGCAAGGAACGGTCGGATGCTCAGGGCGTTCTCAGCAGGTGCATTGTCTTGGTGAAGCAGTCACGATTTTTCCGGTCACAACTCTCTTCTCTTCTCGCGCACTGAGCAAAGCAAACTCTGCAGGATCTCTCTTTTAGACATGCAGATAATCAATAAGAAATAATGTGCCGCAAGAACTCATTGTGGACAATGCTTCTCAAATCGAAGAACGTAATCATTCCCGTTACTTTTCAGACAGACCACGTAGACCTACTTAGCAAGAATGACAAACTGAAAAATATACTAAAAACAACCAAAATAATTAAAAGCAAACGCCAATCTAAAAACCTAAAACATATTAATCTCATCCAAATTTAACCAACACACAATACAGGGAGTTACAAAATGCAACAGAAAAAGATGTGGAGTTTGTGATATCATTATAGAAGGAAACTCCTACACTTTTGAAAACCCCAAAACGAGATTCATACTAAATAAAAATTTAAACTGCAACTCCAAAAATGTGATTTATGCACTCAAATGCACAAAATGAAAGAAGTCATATATAGGTATCAGCCAACAACTAAACAAGAGAGCCTCCCTACACAAAAGCAACATAAAATTACCAGACAACAGAAAACTCTTTGTATCAAAACATATTTATAAATGTAACCAGGGTGAATTTAAAATTATGCCAATATACCAAACAGACAATTATTCTTACCTACAAATACAAGAGAAAAAAAACTTCATAAACAAATTTAAACCAGCACTAAATAGATCATAACCCCACACGCAGATGCACACAACAAGCACACATAATGGCCAAATACACCGGTCAAACCACTCGCATCCATGCGCACACGTTGACACGCGGGTATATGTGGAGCAGGAATATGTATACGTATATTGGAAAAAACAATAGACTGCTCAAAGGCATGCGCGCAAACCCTACACAACATAAGAAGTGTGTATGTGTGTGTGTGTGTATGTATATATATATGTATAAGTGTGTGTATAGAGAAGGAGTGCGCTTATACATGCGCGTACTGGTATTTACATATATTGATAAAAACAAAACTGCTCACGGGCACACACGCGAACCCTACAAAACATAGGAAATGTGTGAGCGTGTGTGTGTATTTGTGCGTATATGTATGTGTGTGTGCGTGTATGTGTATGTATATGTGTACATATATGTATACTAATTCCTTACAATAAGACAGTATGTATGTATGGAGCGGGAATATACATATACGTACGCATGCTGACAAAAACACACAAAAAAAATGGAAATAGATCTAAGAAGACACAGGGGTCATTAAACGATAAGAATATAGATATCTTTCTCACCCTTTCTCGGACCAATCTTAATTGTTTTATTAGCCTTCACGTAGAACTTTTTCACTGCCAGTTCAAGGAAGACATTTGGGTTACTAAAACACAAAAAAGAGAATGTCTAATATTGAGAATATTTAACATCGAAAAAAAAATTCCTTTTAATAATATGTGTAAATATCCGCTCTTTGCTTGATGAAGATCGCAAGACCGGAAACACGTGTAGCAAAATTATGTAAAATAAAGCATAATATATTTTTTTTTTAAATCCACATTACAACCAAAAACGTTTGCGGTTTCTCTCTTCTTTTTAATATACACACTTTTCTCTCGTTGGGACTATTATAACCTCTTCTCCTATATATAACCTAAGCTAACCTCCTCCCCTACACACACACACACACACACACACACACACACACACACACACATATATATATATATATATATATATATATATATATATATATATATATATATGACATTCTTTCAGAGAGGTTAAATTCCGTGACGATAAAAAAATGAGTCCAGTTGTATCATCTGCAGAGAGGTAAGACACCACCGGGAGGAGCCACTTATCAGCTGAATGCTTATAAATTCGTGTATGAACGACCATGTTATGGCAATTTGCAGACGCACGCATGGACACTCCCAGCTATAAATAGGAACAGGTACTGCCTTTTGGAAAGGGAAGTTTCCAGCAATACATACGGGGACTAGTTAGGATTTTCATAGAGACAAATGAGGTATTATGATGGATGTATTAAGAAAGGTAAGTAAGAATGCGTTGATTTGGTGTTAGGAATATTGTTTGTATGTTTGAGTCAGTGTTTGTGGCTAGCTAAGTTTAAAGTTAAGATAGATGAAGACCGTCCTTTTACCCATTTTGACCTTGTGCCACATTTTGTACCACTGTACAAGTAAATATCGGGAAATTTCCAGCAGTCAGCTCTAACAGTCTGACCGAATATTCTTGCTGCAACACTCTCGTTTGTATGTGTTTGTATTACTGTTTCTGTTAATATATTTGTTTAGTTCAATTTCTTTCTTTGTATCTTTATTTCTGGCCCTAACAAGGGCACAACAGACCAATATTTGAGTCTATATGCATTGATTGATTCGAGATAGGTAATTCCCGAATCAAGAAAAGAGTTATAGGCGCAAATATAAACGTTCAATAATTACCCCTCCCTGATTCAAGAAAAAGCTTATTGACTCAAATATAAACGACCAATATTTACTTATCTCCAAATCAAGGAAAGGCTTATAAAGGCAAATATAAAAGATCAATATATACCTCTGCTAGAATCGATAGATGGTTATAGGCACAAATATTATCGTCCAATATTTACCTATCCCAGAATCAATAAATCCTATAGACTCAAATCTAAACGACTAATATTTATCTATCCTCGTATCAATTAAATGCTTACAGACTCAAATATAAACGACCAATAGTTACATATCCCCGATGTAAGCAAATTCTTAAAAACTTAAATATAATGATAAAGACTAATTTTAAATATCCCAATGACTGTTGACGTGTCGTAAAAGCATGCATCCTAACTATACCTAGGCCAAAATGTTACCTGTTTCTCTGTTATTAGTTTTCCCGAAAAGTATGGCTACTTCTATACTAGCCCCATTATTATATATATATATATATATAATATATATATATATATATATATATATATATATATATATTGCGAAGATTGGTAAAACTTTTTCTGTTGCTGCCAATGAATTCGCTGTTTCATGCTATCTTCCTCTTTGTCGAAAAGATTCTTAGATACATATGCATGGAATTAGTGCTTACATCCGCGAAAATCTTCCAATGGCAAGGGAATTGTCTCTTAAGTTTCCAGATGGTTCTTTCATGTGTATTCGACTTACTTTATTGCACTCTGTTAGCTATCTATTTTCTTTTATCGCTCTCCTTCTTTTCAGGACGGTAACATATTAGACAAAATATCTGACAATATAGAAATAGCACTTCTTGCTTGTGGAACTCTTTTCCGGCTTGTTGCTTTCTAGTCAAGTTTGATACCCAGTAACCCCTTGCGTCTTAGTGGTTTTATTGCTTTGCTTGGGGTGAAATGATTAAATAAAATGTGTTGACATGTCGTAAAATCAACCAACGCAACTAAACCTAAACCAGAACTTGACGAGAGTTGTTTATCTGTTATCAGCTCTTTCGAAAAATATCGCTGTTTCTGCACAAGACCTTATTTGCTCTAATCATATCATATGCAGGGGAAGCCCATCATGAATGTTTAGAGTCGTCTACATCTCGGAATCAAAACAATAATTGAGGCGAATGCGGATTTGAAAGTTAAAAGAAAAAAAACGCGGCATTTTTTTTCCTTTGTTACGTGAGACGCACAAAAATGTCTACCCAGAAATAGTGAAGGAGTGTACAGGATATAGTTGCGAGGCTTTCAACAATAACATTCCAACTATGAGTTGGTTGGCGTGAAATGCAACACTTTATTGAATTTTAATGTTCTGCGCGTCTCTTTTATTTTTGTGATGTCAACGAACACTCGTTGCCATTTTTGTGATGTCAACGAATACTCGTTGTTACTTCCGTAATGCTCGTTGTAGTAGAGACTTTGTAATCGCAGATACAAACTACAGTACGCCGTTGAACAATTCTGGTGTCAGACGCCTTGGAATAATCTCGCATGAATAGTACTTGTTCGATAATACTCACTCGACAAATAATCCGTATAGTAATCTGAACAGAAAAATAGTATAGTGAATAGAGTAGAGAATAGCTGTCCGTATGTTAATAGAGGATAGAGTAGAAATGGTGATCTGTATAGTATAGAGGATAGAATAGAAATAACGATCGTTTAGACGTCACGCTACTTTCTACTTATGCGTTCCCTCTATGGTCACGTGGTCTACTTAATTCAATAATGGGGTCGCCCGTGCTTGCTAACTGGCAATCTATGTTCAAACTCAAGTGTCGGCAGTGACAATTTATTCCTATATAACAATTATCAACACGAACAGTTTCTTTCTAGGAACCTCTACACCTAAGAGGACGCTTCCTCGGCCACTACAATCTAAACCTCTTACTAGAGTTAAGAATTATTTTCCCACATAATCTTCATAAATTGCGCTTCTTAACTCTTATCGCACACACAGCAACTGCTTTCAGTAAAACACTACCTTGAGTGGCTCTTCTACGTAGATTCCGATTCTTTCGTTTATCGGGAAAAAGACAGAAATCTAGAACTATCTGAGAAGACCCATGTTTCTATGTCTAAAAAGTAGAATATGCATTTATTAAAATGTCAAATTAATATTAGAATAAAGTTTCTAGGGCGTTATTAATCGTCCCTCAGAAAATTCATTAAAAATTCATAAGGAAATGTGGCCAAGTGGTTAGAATATTAGCACTCCAACCACGAGACGCAGTTTCGAATATCAGAAAGGTCGATTTCACTAACATAATATTGGTCTGGTTGGGTACCGATGGAAAGTTCTTGAAAACCATACCACGAACTGACCCAAGTCTTGTGAGTGAAATATGTGGAAACAGTCAATGGTTGTTCTAGCGTAAATTCACAAGTCATCGTCACCGAGGGTTTGAGCGTGCTGGCCTTGTTCAAATTGTCGACCATGTCCGATTATGCTCTCTCTCTCTCTCTGTCTCTGTCTCAAGGATTAGCTGGTCATCCTAACAGACAGGTGTACTCGGAAACGAACAAGCAGTATAATTTATCTCTGTATTAATTTGAAAAACTATGTGATTCGAATATTACTCTGACAACGTAACCTGCCGTATTTTCTTGTATATATCAAGGGAAATTTTGAACGAAAATTAAAGGCAAAAAAGTTTGGGGTCGTATTATAGATAAGTATACGTCTTCAGAATTTTTTTACAGGACTTAAAAACCTCATATTTGAGACAACAATTTGCAAATCATCATCATCATCATCATCATCATCATACTTCGACCTTCCTATGGTTCATTGGAACTCCATTGACAACCTCTTTCCACACTGCTCGGTTCTGCATTGCTGTCGCCAGATCCCCAATCTCCAACCCTGAGTCCCGAGCTATGGTGTCTGGGAAAGTCAATTTTCGTGAGAAGACTCTTACAGAAGGATGTCATCGCAGTAAGGTTGAGACGATTTCCCTGTCAGCTCGGTGGCAATGGCCGGCAAACTGTAATCGTTTTTGTTTAAGTTTTAGAGAGATTGATCTCAGTTCTCCGTAAATTATGTTAAGCGCTTTATAGGATCTCCAACAGATGTTCTGGATTTTTCTAAGTAGATTTCCATCCAGTTGTCTTTCAGATAATGTCTAAGTTTCTGATCTATAGATTCGGACTGGTTCAATCAATATTCGAAAGGTTTGGATATTTTTTCAAATACACTCAGCACAACAGATAATAAAGTACAAAGTAGGCAGGTGTTTATAACAATTGTTTACAAAAGGTATTTGATATGTTGGCTATATTTGCTCTTTGGGAAACAGCGCAATAGAACGTCTATTGTAACAAAGACAGGAAATTTACCGACATCAGCTAAAAGAAAAATTAAGAGAATACACAAGATCTGTCACGTTTCGATTATATTAAATGTTACAACAAAACACCTTACCCTGAAAATAAATTTTGAAACAGAAAATAGAAGAAACAAGTAATGACTAATATCTGGTTCATTTCTATTCTTTAAGATCTTGAAAAATTCAGTATTTTAGTGAAATATATATATAACACATCGAGAGTGTAATAGATAACATGGCACGACTTTTCAAAAATTACATATATATGGCTGTACTATGTATTATATTGAAATATGTAATTTATTCATTGTTTTAGCTTTAGAAAGACAGGGTCTTATTATACACGAGAAAATACAGTAAATATTTCTATATGAACACCTATTAAAAATTGTTCCCACCCCCATGCAAGGCGGAGATGCCACTAGTACGCAGGGGTTTACAGGGAGTGAAAATGAAAGAAAGTAATGTGTATAGGAGAATGGACAGAAGATGAAATGGATTCAAGAAAATAGAAAATGGCGATTGACGTTGCATTTAAATTTTTGGAGATTGTCGTCACCAGGGAAGTAAGTAAATAGAAGCGGGTTCCACGAGCGGGAAGTGCGAGAAAAAAAACTGTTGGTGTAGAGTTAGCGGTCGCATTTAGTTATTTCAAAGTAAAAGGGTGGGAACTAGATGTCAATCTAGTAGCACGCTTAAATTCATGAAGTCGGGGCACCAGGTGAAAAAGACAGAGGGAAGCCACGCCGCGTCGGTGAGATAGTAACTGAATTTGTGATGCCTGGTCAGGATCGATTACATTAGTGATCCTTCTTTGGATTTTGTCAAGAACCTCGAGATGAATAGCAGGAGTACCAGGCCAAATATGGCAGCCAGTATTCAATGCACGGACGAATAAATGTGCAAGAGTTTCTGTCGAGAAAAAGTTTCTGTTACCAACTTTCTGACCCAACTTTCCTTTCCTTACAGTGGATATCTTTAAAATATCTTTAGGTATTTTAAAACATCATTTAAAACATCATTCAATCTATTACTATTAGACTCTAACAGCATGTAGGTGTTAGCGAGGACCATCCATATTCGAACCTTGTGAACTGACGTTAAACCTAGACTTAAAGAGGTTAATATTGTCGTGATCAGGGAAGCATTCTCTCGGGAGTCTGTCCCACTAAACAGCGGTGTTGGGGAAGAAGCTGCCCGAATTGAACTGTCTTCTAACTAACGGGGCGACTTATAGCCATATCACGTTGAAACACCCCAGTTCTCGTCCGATCAACGAAGTTAAGTAACGTACAGCCCCGTCAGTACCTACATGGGTGAGCGCTTAGGAATACCATCTGCTGTAAGCTTTATGTGCCGGTAGTGTATCTGGCAACTGGGAAGTGGAGAGCCGAGTTCCAATTCCAGTCGGGTTCGTTATATTCACTTACGCACAAATAACATTAGGAAAGGCATGAATCCACTTCTTCTCTTTCCAGCTATGGGGTAAATATTATCAGTATATTCCAAAAGATTCTTACAATCCAGAAATATTTTCTGGCTTTAAATAACTTGCAAATGGTTGATAAGCCGTCAAGAACAAATCAATTAATATTACTAATGGAATACGAAAGAAATCAATGAAATTGGCTGGAGTTAGCTCTAAAGGGATAAAGACGTGTAACTCGTTGGAACATTGAAATGGAAATAGCAATAGAGTCGCAAGAGGTCTGCGATGTTTCACCTGTAGGACAGGAGTTGAAGAGAAGGTGTAATATATCGTAAGATTTCTAATCGGTTGTCATGTCAGCGACTCATGGCTGCCTTGGGTCGAGACGTTAATTCTTGAAGGCTGTTTGTCAAAGTTAGAAGTTCGATGATTAGAGCTACCACCAGTTAATTATGATTAAAGTGTTGCCATGCCGTTTACTGTGAAAACAGCTAAATGCAACCGTCATTTCCACTCCAACAGTTTCTTTTCTCGCACTTTCCACCTGTGGAACTCTCGTTTACTAGCTTACCTGATAACGACAATCCTCAAAAATTTAAATGTAACATCAATCACTATCTTATTTTTTCTTGGACCCCGTTTATCTTTTGTCCTTTACTCAATCTTCTCTATTCTCAGTCTTCTCTTTGACTTTCAGCGAATACTAGTAACATTCCGGACTTGCTTGGGTTATTCTTTTAAAAAAATGTCATTTGGCGGTAAAAGTTATTTTCTTTTATTAACATTAATTTTTAGATTACTTTTACATGTTTTCAGAATATATGTTTCATATTAAGACGTACTTGCTGAACACTAAGATAATTTAATTAATAAATTTTCATTTATTTACACTATTTACGAGCAAAAGTCAAAAATTCACAACACGTATATGTTATGGTGAAAGTGTGGATAATTTTTAACATCTTCGTATAGTTATTTTCCAAGCGTAGCTCAGATGTGGCACAAGGCCGAAAGTATGGGGCATCTAGTGAGGATTGAACTCACTTTTTCAGTTGTAACTGATCAAGCGAGATAAGCTTGCTAACCATTACACCACCTTCATATATTCGAGCTATTGTCGTCACCTTTGCTTTCTTTATCACAACGTTTCGGCCGTTGTGCTCTCGGGCCTTCCTCTGGTATATATCGATCCGGATAACCTACAGGGAATTCGGAAATTAACCCTTTATTTAATCTACTGGGGTAGACAATTCTCGTCCCACTGCTCATGTATAGGGATTATATCTACGATAATTAATTATCTACTTTAAAAAAATCAAAACATCTAATCTTATCATCAACAATTTTAAATGTTTTAAATTTTGTTATAGCAGATAATTAACTTAATAGCTAAACCTTATAATCAACAATAACAAGATACCTGCAAGATCTAAATAAAGAGCCAATAATATTTATGAATTCACGTGCCCCTTAAGGAACCGTGTTCCAGTTCAAATCAATTTCATGAATAATTATATTGGACATACCACTACGTGCCTATCAAGAGGACTCACATTACATCTCTCTGACCATAGATCAATTAGGATTCACATGGAAACCTACCAAACCCTATCCGCAATATACTTGTAGAAAATACAAGTATAATAGCCTCATCCGCATGTAAAAAAAGTAAAAATAATGGAAGTACTAATAATAAAAAAGAAAAAAACCAAAACTCAATAACATAAATTATGAACCCGTTCACTGTATGCAGACCATGCTTTAAAAAATCTCATAACTCTAGATACATATATAAAAATCAATACATTCGGTTAAACATAGAAATCATCCTTGATAATAGCTAAAAGAATAGCCGAAAGCGCTCAGATATACAGAACATTCGGACAATTTCTACACACCTTATGTCCAGAAAAGAAAAATTACACACTATATGTTCAAGAAAAATAAAAATCTTAATCGCAGTACCTTGTCAGTCGACTTTAATGAATATATATATATATATATATATATATATATATATATATATATATAGGTTTATCCATTATTTTCTGTTTAAAGCTGGGTTTCCAGTTCCTTCTCATTCTCTTTTACTACTAGTAGCCCCTTGCATCTTAGTGGCATTATCTCCTTGTTTGCAGGGAATTGGTTAAGAATATAAAATAAAATAAATAAAAGTGGAATAGCTGAAATAAAAAGAATTCTCTGTTTAACTTGATTAGATTTTATCAACCCTCTGTGTGTTATTTAAATCCGAAACACATTTTGGACTGTAATAATTTTTTTGCAAGTAAATATTGCATTAACAAGCCCTACTATTTAATCCATTGTTGGGGAGATGGATTAATACCTTTCCCAATAGTACTTGCACAAGTAAGTTTAACGAACCCGATCGAGGTTCGAGCTCGGTTATCCGATTTCTCATTTAATGCCACTATCCATTGCGCCATACGCATATACAAATAAAAAGAATTAAAAATTTTAAAAAATAATGACTTATCATAAGTGTTATGGGAACTTAACCATAACAATAATGGACTATTCCTGACATTATAAATACTGTGCCTCTCAAGAGGTATGGGGGAGATTACAAGACGAGGAGAGATAATTGAGAGCATATTGTAAGGACATTGGAATAGTGATACTTGTCGAGACAACATAGTTCACTCTAACCAAATCTGATAGTCATTACTAATACTTCTTTGTATTATATTTCTGTTGTAATATATCTTTGTATTCCATACCTGTGTTCGTGTTATTCTTTCATTGGTTCTAACCTTGGACCATCACCGTGCTACAAGGAACTTGGACCATAACAATAAGATACCCGATGGCTGCTGTTTTTATATTGCTAAAAATGAATGCCTTTAAATTAATGGCTGCTGTTTTTATATTGCTAAAAATAATGGTTGCAACTTTAGCTGACGTACAAAACAATACTTACTGGTTTCAAAAATATTTATATATAATATCTGACTGGAGACTTATTGGCTGTCACGGGAAAGGTGAAAAGAAGTGAATAAATTCAATAAGAAACTCTATTTAATAAGAAAACAATAATTTTTCAAAGGAGACTAACTTCACTTTGAATAAAACAGATAAAAATACTCAATCAACAAATTCAGGTAAAATCATTAAAACAGTTAAGAAGTTTAAAATACGTCTTGATGCAAAAATGACATACATGGCTAATGTGTATTCAAGGGCAATTATGGTAATGTATATAAACACAAAACGTATCAGTGGCTGAAAGAAGAGACGGAAGCATTTATACTGGCTGCAAAGTCCATTCACCTAAAATAATCAGGCAAATAACGGTGCAGAGCTAATATGCAAATTGGTTGAACATGCTGAGACTATTGATCACTTAGCAAGTAATTGTCTAATACTGACGCAGAACGAATATACAACTATCATGGAATATTTCAGCTGTATATTTGGCAGAAGATATACCGATAATATAGATACCTTCAAAAAATTTCTAAATAAAGAACAATGAAAAGGTCCCAAACTTGATAAAAACAAAGTTTTGTCGTCAATATGTTTATGCTATTATTAAGAGGAAAGAACAAAGTATTTTTATTAAATTTTTAATCCTTTCGAGTGGGTTCGAAATTTAGGTTAAAAATCTTATTTTTCTTGCGTCAGTAAGTAATTTTAGCGTCTTATTTAGCGTTAAAACATTGATTAGGAAATTCTTACAAAAATCAAATAATTGTCGGATTTTAATGAAATTTTCAGGAGTTATTCTCAAATGAATAAAATTATTTTAAAATTGTTTTTTTTTAGAAAATCTTGGTAGGAATATATGTTTTTTTTTTTTTTACATCTGTTACGCCCACTTACATAATTTTATGAAATTTCGAAAAATTAAAATTTCAATTTTCAGATATAAACTGTAAAAATAAACAAAATTGTTAATCGACGATATGATTAGGAAAGCTCTTTTCGCTGAGTGTTTGTTTAATACTAAATAATTCTTTATGGAATATTGTTGTAGACAAAAGATATTAATTAAGGTTTCTTATAACTGCCATCGTGTATCGATAACAGAATCCGATTTGGCAGTTACGGAGCTAGTAATTATATATGTAAATAAATGTTTGAGTATATAAAATATATACATAGAGATATTTTGTCTATATTTCTCAGATGAGGTATTATGTACATTATTTATATTATTCGGACTATTGTCCTCATCTTTGTCGCCATATTTATTACAACGTTTCGGCCGTTGTATGCTCCGGCCTTCTTCAGGTGGTTAGAATTTCGCTTACTGGGGTAGACTGTTCTAGTTCCACATGCCATATTTGATGGATGTCAGTTATCAGTTATCTCCTGTTAATTTCCCTCTGAAGGTTCTCCACTGCCTTAACCGGGTATTGAACTCACACTCATTGGGTCCTGTCACGGGATCTAACCAACGCCTTTATCCACTGTGGCATGTGTCCTTGAGGACGTTGTAATAAATATGGCGACAAAGATGAGGGCAATAGTCCGAATAATGTAAGTAATGTATAGGGATATTTTTTATCATTTTAAAAGTTATTTTTAGTGGGTACCCATATTTGAATAGACGCTCCGTTTCTTTTAAACTGTCTACCGACATGAATATTTGAGAAATTTTATTCAAGAAAATATAAAAGTAACGTTTAAAGAGATAAAAATCTGATGGATTAATAAATAAAAAAAATACTTCTCCAGAATTGCATTGTTTACGTTCGGATACGAAAATGATCAGATATGAAATTTCGAGAATCTGGGATGAGAAGGAATTTTACTTTAAGGCTGTAATCGACCCGATTTCGTGCAAAAAGGTACGACGGTTCGATCCTGCTGAAGGGCGCATATATAAATATAAATATTTATAAATATAAATAATATTTATATATTATATAGAATAATATATATATATATATTG